ATGTGTGAGATATCCTCATCAAGCTCAACTTTTTCCCCCTCACAGCTCCCCTACCCTGTGAAAGTTTATGCTATTCCACATATTAGGAGGAAAATAGAGCTAATTCTGTTTGATTTGATTTTCAAAAAATTATTTTAAACGAATTTTCACTACAACATATGAGAGTTTTAGAGACCAAATGTTTTTATCTCTGAAAGTAAAATTTTGTTGCAAAAGGCATTTAAGGACCAATTTCTACCATCATGTGGATAGTCTTTAAATGGTCGTCCTGAAAATTCAAAAACAAAGTTTTTAGTGACAAAATTTTGAAAATGTCACTAATAAATAGACTTTTAGAGACAAAATAATTTGGTCTCAAAATGGTTTATTTTTTTAGACAAAAAATTTGGTCCCAAAAAGATAATAATTCATCACTAATGTCTAATTTTTGTTGGTAAAAATATAATGACGACACTTTTTGTAACAAAAATATTTGGTCCCTAAAAAATAATTTTGTCCCTTAATTTTGGTCTCTAAAACTTTAATTTTTTTGTAGTGTTTCGTTTGTTTCAAGTGAATATTTTTTTCATATTTTAGTCATTTTTTTCGTTACTTTTTAGATATATCAAGACTAGACAAACAAAAATCCACCTAAAATAGTTTTTAAAAAAGCAAGCCAAGTTCTTTTGGTTGTGTTTTTTAATTTAAGTGTTATATTGTGATTTTAGTGCGTAGTTTAACTTCTTCTTCTTTTTTTATTGGCAAAGAAGGAAATTTTATTTCTGTTTGATTTGTTTTTTCAAAAAATTATTTTAAACAAATTTTTGTTTGTTTCAATTGAATATGTTTTTTTTTTTTTTATTTTAGTCATTTTTATTTTTAGTTTTTAGATACATCAAGATTAGACAAACAAAAATTCACCTGAAACTAGTTTCTGAAAAACAAGCCAAGATATTTCTTTTGGTTGTGCTTTTTAATTTAAGTGTTATACTGTGCTTTTAGTGCATATTTAAGATTTTTATTTAAATTATTTATTTATTTATTTATTTATTTTCTATCGGCAAAGAATGAAACTTTATTCCACAAATCAAAGAAGATACAAAGGAAAAACTTTGAGAACCAAAACTGTAATCATTACCTAAACATTGCATCTCAAATATGTTGCCACCAAATGCAAAGCCAATTATGTTAAACCCAAAGCAAAACAAAATATTGAAGACAACCAAAGTTATGGATCAAATTAACTCAATTGCGTACGTACATATTGTCACGTAAAGTAATGGTGGATAGTGTAATTTCAAAAATTGGAAATTCTTATAAGATACGTTATCAATAAATCCTAATAGTTAGATTTAATTTTCATTAATCAAAAGTTAGTCTAAATAAATTATCATTAAAAATAATTTTCTGTGACGATTTTTTGCATATGTCCATTGCTGGAAAATTTATTTTTAAACGCCACTATATGTACTAAACACGTCGCTAATTTGTTTTGTGGCGTTTACTACCAAACGTCGACAACGCGGTCATTGCTATAACTTTATGGCGTTTGAAAAACGTCGCTATATTGGTATTGGCGGCATTTTTAAAAACGCCGCCAAATGTCCTACCCTACCGGTACTATGATGTCACTATGTCCTACCCTACCGGTACTATGATGTCACTATATGTTTAGCGACGTTTTTCAAACGCTGTCACATCTTTTTTTTAAAATCTAAAAGGTTTAGGTGGTGTTTTAAAAAACGCCGTGATATCTTTTTTTTTTTTTTTTTTTGAAATTGTGCTAATTTTATGTGAATGAATTAAAAAAATACCTATAATGAAATTAAATAGCACGAAAAATGATTTTGGCTTCATTTTTGTCAACAATTTGCGCCAGCATCGTGATGGAACTCATTTGGGCAAAGTTCAAGGCCCCTATTGACTTTCACAGAAGCAACCAAATGAGGTAAGAGGCATTATCTCAACCCTCCACCATAGCTATCATAGGAATCCTCAAGTTCTAATACAAATAAAATTCAAAATTTATACTTTGAAATAATAATTACCAAAAAAAAAAAAAAAAAAAAAAACTTCAAAGTAAAGTTTTTACAAAATGTTTTCCCAAACAAATGTTCGTACATCAAGCTCCAAATCTTCCCACAACTATCAATCTTTTTCATAATACAAACATATGTTATCAAGGATATCAAAAAGGAAAGAAGCAACCTCCATATATTACATGCCATGATATCCAAAAGCTGAATGGTCTAAGCATTCATCTCCGTATTCCATCATACAATCCATTCTATCCAAGAAAGATGCTCAAATGACCTGTTTTCATCAAAAACATAATCCATGTTAAAGTCAACTAAACAAAAAATAAATAAATAAAATGTCCAAAAACAAATGCATCTCCTTATGTGGTCTAGTCTAGGCCTCAATTTCCTCTCTCTAAGCTGTAGGTGTGAGGAAAATGTGCCCAGTAGAATAATTCTAGCAAAAGTAAACATCAGTATGGGGACATGTCTAAGTGTACAAGATATGGGAAAAACATATTGGCCTTGTTTGGTTTGCTTTTGAGAGAGTAATTTTGGAGCAAAATTTTCAAAATTTTGTGTGATTTAGTGATTTTGGAAAACAAATTCCAAAATCACTTTCTCTCTCCTACACATCAATCAATCACTTTTTCTCTTTCCTCTCTCCTTTTCAATCACTTTTTCTTTGACACACATTTACTTAACTACAACAAAATATCAAATCATCTCAAACTCCTATACTCCAAAATTATTTCCAAAATATACAACTAAACAAACCAAAAAAAATTTCTAAACTCTCCCCAAATTTTTTTTTTTTTTTTTGAAAATTTATCTCCCAAAACCAAACCAAAACACACCTATTAAATCTTTATATCTCACCATGTATGTCAAAATTCCATTTTAATACCATCATAAGCATTTCCTTGCCATTTCATTACACCAGTGATCCCACCCAGTTCCAATATATCATTTCAAGTTCCAATTTCCATATCCAACTCACACATTTACACACACACACATACTCATACCCACACACACCAGAGACAGATACTCTACAGTCTTATTTTCTCCCCTATCATACAGGCTTCATGATAGCTAAAAAAAGAAGAAGAATAAAGGTCAATCCATTTCCCAAAACCCTTTTAACTATTATGCAAATTTTCATGTGGGCTCATTATTGATGTTTATCAAAGGATGACCAAGAATCCAATAACTGTTGTTTTGTGCTAATTTTTCAAATTTGGCATCTCCAATTGACAAAGAGTTGATCTGATGTTGTAATTCTCTCCTAGTGACTAAATAACACTAAATTGGAGTATGATAGTAATTATTCTACTGTTCTCTCTCCTCTAGCTGTTACTTTTAAGGTATATTTAGCAACTACATTTTCAGTAATTATAATGGAGTTATAAATTTTTTGTGATTTTAAGGATGTCCAACAGTATACAATATCAATTCTACTCTGAGCAGTTAGGAAGTTGCACAGTTATGTCCAAAAGTTTACAATGCATAGAAATGATTGACTAGAAATAAAAGTAAAGTAGTCAGGATAGAACTAATAGAGTACCAGAAAAATGGACTGCCGAAAAAATAAAGACAAAAATTGCATGAAAATAATTGATAAGAAATAAAACTAAAGCAAGGATGGAACTCTTAACATAATGCTGGAAACAAACTTACATAGAATTCTTGCTGAAGGAAACATGTATAAAAGCCCAAATTGGATGTGATACCGCATCTTTGAGATGAGCGAGATTGATTGATAAAGATAAGTTTAGTATCTTTCTTTGATAAAAGCATACTACTTCTAGGCAAGTGAATACCTAATAAGCAGGAAGAATTAAAGATAATAAGTCAAATTTGAACAAGAATCCCCGGAAGGTACCTGAACAACTATAGAAACAAGATAAAGAAAAGGAAAATGGAAAAATAAAAAAAGGCTACAAACTAAATCCAAGTGTTATCTTCTTTGGGAGATTTTGATGCAATATGCATATCAAGCATTTTCTCCACCTATCAGCTTTCTGTTTCAAATGTCTGTCACAGAGGTGCAATCTGCAATCTTACTAGCTCAAACTTCATTTATATATTTAACATATTGATTCCATAAGGAACATGTGACATGATAACATTATTTTGATATAATAAGAAGAGCAAGATAGACCAAAATGAATCCAGTTTACATGGCTAAAGAAAAAAAAAAATTTTGTGGGATAAAAAGAAATCTTTGACACCAAATGAAAATCAATTAAGAAAAGAATCAAACAAAATTTCTTCACAACACTACAACAAAATGCACATTCGGCAACTAAAATTGGGGACTAAAAAAAATTTAGTCGCCAAAAGTTATAGAAATGGCGACAAAAAATTTTTTTAGTCAGCAAAAATAAAATATTTAGCTACTATTTTTTTTAGTCGGGGTATATTCATTATTGGCGACTTATTGGCGACTAAAAAAAATTTAGTCGCTAAAAATACCAGAATTGGCGACAAAAAAAAAAACTTGGTCGCTGTATATTGACTTTTGGCTACTAAAATATTTAGTCGCCGAATGGGAAAGAAAAAAATTATTTTTTCTCTTTGGCGACTAAAAAAGATTACTTTCAGCGACAAAAAAAAATTAGTCGTCGTATATTGACTTTTGGCTACTAAAATATTTAGTCGCCGAATGGGAAATAAAAAAATTATTTTTTCTCTTTGGCGACTAAAAAAGATTACTTTCAGCGACAAAAAAAAATTAGTCGCCGTATATTGACTTTTGGCTACTAAAATATTTAGTCGCCGAATGGAAAATAAAAAAATTATTTTTTCTCTTTGGCGACTAAAGTTTTAGTCGCCAAAACTTACTTTCAGTGACAAAAAATTATTTTAGTCGCCTTTAGCTGACAAAAAGTATTTTTTTTTATTTTTTATCTTTGCTAACCTATCTTCAGCGACTAAAATTTAGTCGCCAGATCTGTTCAAAATTTTACTGAGAAAAATTTCATTTTGGCGCCTAAATTTTTGCCCAAATGTATTACTTCTTCACATGGTTCTTTCTCTATCTTGCTCTCCCTCTGTCTCTCTCTCACACAGAGAATCAATCACTCGTACTACCCTCTCGGCTCCCTTGAATCGATTGTGAACCCGGTTCAACCCACCTTGGCCACTGAGGACATGGAAGCCGAACGCTTCACATTAAACATTTCTAGGGTTAATGGGTCGGTGGCGATCGATACAGGAATCCGATACGAAGCGGCTGGGAATGGCGTACAGAGATTCGTTCTTGCTCTTTGTTGTATAGCATTGCATCTATAGGTATGAGATTGATCATTTCTCATCATAATTATTAATTTTTTCTTTCTTTTTTCTGAGTTTGTTTGTGTATTTTTGCGATTGATTGTCATACGAGTAATTGAATTTGGGGCTACAAAATTATTCAATTGAAGTCGAATGTGATTCCACTCCTTGTTCATGGGTTGGAGTCGAATGTGACTCCAATCATCACCACAACCACTTTGTAGTTTCTTTAAACCTCTCTGGTTTTCAAATATTGGGTCAATTAGAACCTGAGATAGCTGAATTGACCCAATTAAAGTCCATTGATTTCCGCAACAATGGTTTCACAGGCTCAATCCTTTCTGAATTAGGTAATTGTAGTCTCATTGAATACTTGGAACTCTCCCAAAACAGCTTCACTGGTGATATGCCAGAGAGCTTTGGGAATTTGCTGAATTTGAGATTCATAAACTTGTATTCTAATTTCATGAAAGGTTCAATCCCTAAATCTCTGTTTCGAATCCAACATTTGGATACTGTTTGGCTCGATATGAACGAACTTAACGATTCAATCCCATTGAATGTTGGCAACATGAGTGAGATTTCATCTCTTTGGCTATATGGTAATTAATTGTCCGGCACCATTCCTTCCTCCATAGGAAATTGTACCAAATTGGTAGAACTTTACTTGAATGATAATCAATTTGTTAGGGATTTACCGGAGAGTTTGAATAATCTTGAGGAGCTAATGTATCTTGATGTTCGTAATAACAGTCTAGAGGGTACTATTCAATTGGGTTTGGGTAGTTTCAAGAAAATGGACACTTTCGTCTTGTCTTTCAACTATTTTAGCAGTGGTATTCCACCAGGGTTGGGAAATTGTAGTAGCTTAACTCAACTTGTCGTTGTTCGTTGTGGTTTAACTGGTCCTATCCCACATTCTCTCGAACAATTAACCCAACTGACACTTATTTACCTCTGCGAAAACCGTTTATTGGGTAGAATACCACCTGAGCTTGGCAATTTGAAATCCCTGAATGATCTTCAGCTGTATGACAACCAACTTGAGGGGGAAATCTCGAGCGAATTAGGGTTGCTGAGTGAGTTGCAGAACCTTTTCTTGTTTACTAACCATTTGGATGGTGAGATTCCAATAAGTATTTGGAAGATTCAGAGCCTTGAGTTCCATTTGCCGATTAGCTAGATCGGTCTCCCTCTTTCTCTCTCTTTCTTCCTTCCTCTATTTCCCCGTTTCTCACACTTGCCCTAGGGTTTTATATGATTTTTGTTGTTTAATTTTGTGTTGAATTTGAGTTAATGTTGTGTTGATTTCCCACACTTGGTATAGGGTTTGTGTTGATTTTTACACAGAAATCCCAAATTCAAGCTGGATTAAGCAAGAATTTGGGACATGATTGGGGTATTCTAATTCTAAACTATTTAG